TTAGATTTGTAGATAATTGGGACAGTTTTGAAAAAAAATCTCAAGAACTCAAATCATCCTTTTAAAATTTCAAGGTTATGGAGCAAAAAACTTTAGGAATATCTAGTACCTTTGGAGGTCGATGGCCAATTCCACGCTATTCTTCATAAGAAAATTTTTGTTACCCCTCTCTCCGTATATGGAAATCGTGGGATCGCCGCTGATACATACATAAATGTAATATATACATTTTATTAAAAAATATTCTGAATGTGTAACAGACAAAAAGTCAAAACTCCCATTTCAAACGTTGCTGCAAAACGAATGGATCAGGCTTTGTTGCACTTCTTCTTTGACTTCGGCTTCGGCTGGCGAGCCCAGCACCGGACGGCTGCTGTATCGCATGCACAAAGTGCCTTCTCACACTCGGTTTTTCCTTAAAGAGATTTGAATTTCACCATGGAAGTTTTTACAAATATATGCCATGGTAACAATTTCGGTGGATGAAATGCGCTCACCTTTGCAAATGGCAATTCTATCTATGCAATCCCAGTTATACATGTCCGTGTATAGCCCCATAAAAGTACATTTTCCACTCGTTCTTGCTGCTCGATAACACAGAGCGCGAGCTTTGCAACATCTAGAAGTTACACTTATCCAAATATATGCTTAGATTTATTATGAGCTTACGTATCAACCTCATCTACAGGAGTGCCAGAGGCTCCTGTTCCACACCAGCATCCATGACCTTTGTACACCTGCAAAAATTATAGTTCTAGTCTCATTCAGTGCGCGAGCTTCATCCAATGTATAAGGTGCTTACAAGTGCAGTGTAGCCAAGTTCACACTTGCACATTCCATCAAAGTTGATCAAAGCCAAGTTCATAGGAATGGAGGCTATTTCATGGTCGGCCGCGATGTAGGTAAGAGAAAGCAAAAGCAAAAGAATATTTCTTAGCATATATATCCACTTTTCATAGAGTGAGATCTGGGCGTCAAATTGAAGAGTATTATGATTCTTTGGTCTAATAATTCTATCAACCCACAACCCTTTGAGAAGCTTAGTGCACTGATTAAACCAATCACACCACTCATATAAGAAACACAAAAACTGTATGAGTGTAGACGAAAGACATTAGACTTTCTTGAATGGTCATAAATGATATCTATATATATACAAAAGTGAAAGTGTACAAATATGTGTGGAATCTTCGTGCGGAATACAAATTTTTCTAAGTAAATCTACGAAGCTGAAATTCCTTCCCCTATAAACAATGTGTGAATCTTCGTGCGGAATACAAATTTTTCTAAATAGATCTATGAGGCTGAAATTCCCTCCCCTATAAACAAGCCACGGCGCAAAACATACGCTACTTTTCGCGGCGATTCACTGGCTCCTCTTATCGATTTATCGATTTGTTTACTTACATCTAAGAAAATGAAGTCTCAACATGCTCCAATCAGTCATTTTGCCATGATGTATGTAAGTGGGGCAGTAAAAATCATTTGAGTCTCAATGTCAGGAATGCGGCAGACCGTTCCAAAGCGCAGTTCGCGCATGGTAAAGAAGGAGTTTAGAAGGATAAAAAGCGACTTCGTCACCCCGCGATCTGGCAATTTGCAGATGTCTTCAGAACCAACACCTGCCAGACTACGGATATGTTTGCGTTTGATTTTCGTAGGCTGATGAAATGCTATATCTTCTTTCAAAATGCGATAGCAATGAGTTATGGACAATTAGTGTATTACCAAATCGCGTGAAATACGCCCGGGGCCTACCTAAGCTGGAGTCCCGGGTGGCACCGGGATCGCCAGCTAGTAGTTTATAAGAAGTAATGCTTACTAACAACTAGGCTATATATTAGTGCAGAGTGAACTGAAGAGGCTACCAAGGCTACCTTTTCTAA